ATAAGAGACAGTGTTTTGTTTTTTATTGGATATATATGTTTTTATTTGTTTTTTTATATATGTTTTTTATTGGATATATATATATATACATATATATATATATATATATATATATATATATATTTGCCTATGCAGAACCACCACTGATTTTTATTACTATATATATAATATATATAATATATAATATAATATATATATTATATATATATATGATTTTAAACCTAGAAGCAACAAGCTACATAATGCAATGAATAATTAATTATAAACGTCAGATAGTAGGAGTTATAGAGGATATGCATGTCTATTGACATTATTTTTTGAACATAATCTATTTTTTGTGGTATCAAAGGTTAATCAAAAATATACAACACCTGTGTGTCATCGCCTTCCCAGCAACTATATTTGATATGGAACAACGTGCTACATCATTTCACGATAATTTGTTTTGGTGACTCTTGATACCCTCATAGATAGTCTACTCAAAACGCCTTTGCAGTGGCGGATCTAGGATTTAGCAATGGGTGGGTGCAGAGAGTTGGTGAATAATGGGAGCTGAGAAGGACCGAGTGGGAGTGGTTTTGAGAGGGGCGTCCCCTCCCATTTGAGATTTTTTTAAATATATATTAAGAAAGTGTATCCTATATGAAATACACGATATACCAAATTTAAATCAGTTTCACCATGGAGCTAAAATACTTATCTATAAATCGATTTTATTTTTTTTATTGACGTTATACCTTTTTGTCAATATGATTTTCCCTGGATTAGGACCTAATATTAGTCTACAACTGAAAAAAGGGAAATAGGCCCCATAATTTTTATGAGGGCCCCTTGATATTAACTCTTCAGCAATGGAAAGCTAACGGTCACCCGCGTTAAATATAGTTAATAAATAAAATAAAAAAATATTTTTTTTTTCTAAATTCCAAACTTTGTTTTCGTCTGCTGTATTTAAATATATCTGGTATTTTTCGATTACAATTGCAATAAGCTATGTAAATTTATATGTAAAGTTGTATGTATTAAGTTATATGTAAAGTGCATTAATAAAATACGTATGGATTCGCTATATTTATACAAAGAAATGTTAAATTAAGAGGATCCCCATAATTTAACATTTCTCCGGCCTTAATTTAACATTTCTTTGTAATCCCCTTAATAATTTAACATTTCTTCGTAATAAATGAAGCGAATCCATGCGTATTTTAATAATAAACTTTACACTAACCTAATATATACAACTTTATATAATATATAAATTTACATATAGCTTAATTTTAAAATGTATCTTGTATTATGATATGCAAAAATGTCCACAAAAAGTTATTTGAACTAAAACCTGCGAAACTGTATTGTCACGTGACTGTGAAAAGTGTCAGGTGATCGGTGGCAGGCGACAACTCTGTTGAATGTGGGTTTGTGATTTTTTTTGGACAGACAACAAACGAAACTGCAAGTTATAAATACTTTTTACTGTTAATCTTCTTGTCAAAATTACTTCACTTTGGAAACCAAAGATGTCAAACTTTGCTACTCTACTAGCTGTTTTCTTCTTAATTGGCGTAATTTCGGCTAAATCATGCAATTTACCACCGAGTGAATGGTGTTCAACAACGGAGATTTCTGTAGCTTGTCAGGTAGGTAAATGATGAAAGAATCGCTTTAAACCTAATGAATGTAATTTTAGAGGTAGGCCTACTAACGTATAGCAACTCCATATCTCCTTGCTACCGCAAGGCCTAGGGAAGCTGATGGTAAAAAAAGAGAATACTGTAGGCCTAGCACTATGTAGGCCTAGTAGAGCCTCTCCTACCGTAGTATATAGCTAGGCCAACCTAGGCCCTGCTCCTGACGAGTCGCTAGGCAAATCAATGTATTATACTGTAACCCTCCTTGGTATAGGGCCTGGCCGGGCCTGGAGTAATAAATTATGAGTTTACATACTACTAAGAAAGGATGTTCTATTGTATGGTTGGTATGCTTAAATAGGCCTAGGCAATCATTCAATCAGTAGAAGGAATTCTTGGCTTTAGATGACATACATAATAGGCCTAACTAGGCCTAGAGTGGGGCTATATCTATAGCCACCGCCTTTTTCATTTCACTACTGCTAGGACTGTAGTTCAATTATATACTGTTGTTGAGCCCTAATACAAACCCTGACCTTTGTAACTGTACCTTATCAAAAGCAAACCTATTTTGTGAGCGTGATTGTTATAATTGTGATCAAGGTCTGTAATTCATAATAAATGAAGTTGACATAGAGCCCAATCACACTTGACAGTTACGTCGGCTTCCCCAGACCATAGCTGAACTCAACAGGTACAGGTTCAGCCTTTCAACAAACTGGCCTAGGCCCATTACTTGACTTAGGCCAAATAAAACAATATACTTGTCAAGCGTCACTGCCCGCCCCAGATTTTCTAGCCGCCCCCCCCCCCCCCCTTTTTTTTTTTTTTTTTTGAAAAAAAGGATGAAAAGTAACTAAAAAATGCCGATAATTGATGGAAAAGGATCGTTTTATTCATCTTGAGTGCAGGGAACAAGCTGTGAAGTGCACCACCAATATCAACACATGTGTGGCATCGGTGCTTATATAAATGATCCTAAATGTGTTTCTCAATGTTTAAAAAATATGTACTGAATCTATTGTAGACTTTCTTTTATGTAAGAGCCAAAACGGTAACATAAACTGAAACCGAAGACCATGCAGAGATATAAATAATAAATTAAAAAAAAAAAACAAAAGAAAAAAAAACGCCCCCCCCCCCCTTGATAATTTTTGAGGGGGTGACGCTTAACAAGTATACTTTTTTATTTGGCCTTATTCTGATTTTTTTAAAGTTTGTGTCAATTATGTTTTATTAGTGCATATTTGTGCAGTAATTAATTGATTCATTACATTGTATTTAAGTTGAACACACTACCCTTGAGTTCCCCCGATCTAAAAGCGTATGTTTACAAAGTAAATAAATAAATATAGACCTTTAAAAACCTTAAAATGCATTAGGATTGTTATTGTCTATGCAAGCATTAAAACTGTATTTGCCCTTCCAAAAAACAAAACAAAAAATCATAAATCCATTTTGAAACAAACATTTAATATTTATATAATTTTACAGTAAAAAAATGATAGAAACACTTCCAGTCACTGTATGTGAATTCTTCTATATTATAATATTATTGTTTAAAAATCAGGGTACACATTTTGAACTTTTCTCTTTCTCATTCTCTATTCAATGCAATTAAATTAAAATTTACAAGAAAGTAAATTTTACCTGGTTGAGGATCTTGAAATTAGTGCACTTTAAATAAATGTAAGCTTCACCAATTCAAAATCTCGAAAATTTTTATTTTTTCTTACTACAAATGTGATCTTTGGTCTGTAAAACCTGGATTTTAGACCTGTGGCTACCATATCATCCAAAGTGCATTGATTGAGGGATGACTGTTTACTGAACTGTAGAATTGGGCATAAGCCAAAAACAAAAATGTGATTTCCAAATGGTATACTGTGCTGGGACAAATATCTGATAGGAGGAGAAGCAATGTAGTTTATGGTGTTGGACACAGGATCAAAGACTACTGAACCAACCATTTAGCAGTTAATATTATGCTCTGCACCAACTCATTTCTTCTGGGCTGTTTTTTAATAAAATGTTTATTTATCAATTGATATTACACTATCAGGGGCGGATTTAGGTGGAGGCGTGACCCCCCTCCCCTGGACGTTTGGAAGGTAAAATAGAAAAAAAAGGAAAAAAATTATCATCCTGAATGCCTCAGAGGCTATTTTTGGGCGTAGGGTACTATTATCATGATTGGCCCCACTTTCGGTCTTCCCTTTTGGACATCTCTGGATCCACCCTTTTAATGCTCTTTTTAACTTTACAAGTGGCGAAGCATACATTGTTTTGTTGGGAATAACATTATCCTAGGCTGTAATAAGAATTTCAATGGTCAACTGATTCATATTGGTTTTTTTTTATAGGTAGAGAAACAGTGCAGATTGTGGTCCGGTATGGGATCAAAGGCAACAGCACCAGTGAACATCGCCCTCTACTATGAATCTCTGTGTCCAGGTTGTAAGGAGTTTATTACGACTCAGCTGCAACCAACTTGGATGAAGTTGGGCGATAGTGGAATACTTAACGTCACCCTTGTTCCTTATGGCAATGCACATGTAAATATTAATAAAACATCCTTGATTAATGTAAAAATATTACTATTGAAATAGTTATTGCTTAATTACAGTTTTCCCTACAATTCAATGTCACATGGGACCTGAAAATATAAGGTTTCAGGATTTGATGAATTTCATCTTTATGTTAAGATTGGAGA